TGCCTTACAGTTATGTTTACTTGGCAGGCTGATCAGCATGCAGGCTCTGCAGTCCTCCCAAGTTACTTTTGCAATTGTATCACTGCTACTTTCCACTCGTTGTGTGATATGAGTTAATGAATTCTGCTTACCCAGATTAGGAAGATTTATTTTTGCATTCAGACAATTAACGTATTTATGGAGCTAAATGTAGTACTCCTTACCCAGGCAGAGAACTAAAGCACATAAATGGACTCATTATCCTTGTGAGTTAACTGGAAAAATCCACATATATAAGCTTACACACACCAGAGTTTGCTGAATCAGAACCTTATTTTCTGTAGAAAACAAAATTAGTTTCACTTTGAGATACTCATTCCCATCTGAACATGTCACACTGAAATGGAATCTATAATTGAAGGGTGAGGCATTAAGCCATAGAAGAAAGCCTTTGGAATATTTTTATCTAATAATCTATCAAATCAGGCACCCCTTTAATTCAGGCTGTAAAAGTTCTTGAAGAATTATTTAAAAAAAAAACAAAAAACAAAAAACAAAAACCAAAAAATCACCCCAATAAACCAAAACCCCAACCTTGCAAACTTTTTAGAGCATCCAACACAATTATTTTCAGGCAGTGATTGTTTGTGTGCAAGCCGTGAAGGATTGAATTTATCTGAGATGATTCCCTCATTCCATAGAGTAAATAAAGCCACTTTTTAAATTAATTTTGCTTGGTGTTATTACTTTTGGTAAGCTGAAGGGAAGGGGGATAATCTCTGTTCTCCTCTTTTTCTTTCACAAGGGGAGAATTTATTTTCCCGCTGGAGGAGAAAGGGGACTCATTTTTTCATTGAGGACTATTATTATGATCTACACAGAAGTAAAAATCCCTTCCACAACTTAAGAAGTAGTATAAATGAATTTAAGAGTATAATTATAGAACCTAAAAATAAAATAGAAAATAATAATTTCATTCCAACATCTTTTCTATTGCTGCATGGGGATGAAACCGCACTTTGTTTTTTCACAGCTGTTTATGAAATTCCCTCAGTTATTAGCCAGAAACCCTCTCTGCAGTTAGGAGGAACCACAATGGCACCTTTTCTCATTTTTATGTCTCTCTGAGGCCAGTTTACTCCATTCACACATGGCCTTTGCTATTAGAAACCTGGCCTTTAGTGGCGAGGTAATCTACATTAACCTTAGAGTTACATCTGTTTGGGTCAGGAGTGCACTTTTTGGAGCCAGTCTCCAGGTTTTCCTTCTTGCTGTGTTTTATTCATTTTACAGAGTAGTCTTGGAGCACAGAAACTCGATTCTTTGGGAGGATGCACTCTGTGAGCATCTTAGGACCCGAGGGAATGGCTTGAAGTTGTGTCAGGAGATGTTTAGGTTGGATATCAGGAAAAGGTTCTTCACCCAGAGCGTTGTCAAACACTGGAACAGACTCCCCAGGGAAGTGGCCATGGCCCCAAGGCTGGCAGAGCTCAGGAAGCATTTGGAAAATGCTCTCAGGCACAGGGTGGGATTTTCTGGGGGCCTCTCTTGTGCAGGGCCAGGAGTTGGACTCGCTGAGCCTTGTGGATCCAACTCAGGATTTTCTATTCTACAATTATAAAATTAACTGCATTTCTATTCTATTGTTAAGGGACTTCCAGTCCATGAGAGAAGACCACAATGAGTCTGAATAAAAATGAAATGAAGGCAGTGTGGGGTCCTTAACCCCAAAGTGTTTGGGTGTGTTAATGCTCTTCCACTCTTCCACACTTGTCCGAACAGGAACACCTGGGGGGCAGCCCCTGTGGAGAAACCCAAAGGGCTGCAACTTTTCAGGTCCTCTGGAAAACTAGATCTGCTGCAGAATCCCATCATCTTTTGAAACAGCCTCTCTCCAAAGGGTGTTATGGGGTCCATTGTCTGCAGTGGCTGCCTGCTGCTTCTCAGACTGAATATGAAGTGCTAGATTTTACTGTAAATTGTTAAACAACCAAAGACCCGCAGTGAGAGACGTTCTCTGACTTAGGCACTCAGGTACTGCTTGCACCTGAGTCACTCAGGCTGCAATTGTACCAAAATAAATGTTGGAGTTGGATATAAAAGCATATTATAAGGTCTATTTTTTTTTCTCCTTGCCTTTTACAATTAAAAAATGGGGGAGTATCTTTTTATCTTTTCCTTCTTTCCTCTCATTAGAAGTTTAGCTTGACTAAGTGTTCACAGTGTTGAAATTCTTATAATTGCATCTTACAATTTCTGAGTGCATACAGCAGTGTAGCATAGTGGGGTTTCTACCTACATCAAGCATATTTGAGTAGGTGAAATATGAAACAAATAGCATTTATAAATCTGCATATATATGCCATTTTATGACTTGTATAATTCACATTTTTATACAGCAGTCACAAAAGATAAAAAAAAAAATATAGTGATGGAAGGTATTTTGTTTACAGCAAGCTCTTTACTCTCACAGTCACAGAGATATTTAAACAAAATATTCCAGTAGAAATAAAACATGCATCTTAAAAGAGAAAGTATGTATTTACTGGGTGATTTATCTGGGATTGTGAAAGATTCTTCATCACTAGAAGAATTCATCTGAGTTAGATGAATGAAGAATATGCTGTGTGTGTAGTAGAGATACTCTGTTTGAAAAAGAAGTGGTCCTGGGAAGTCTTCTGGCCAATGCTACAAACCAGACAGCTGTTCTGGCATGTTTAGAAGGCCCTGCTAAGAGTAGAAATCTTTAAGTCAAGGAACTTCGATATTTCTCTTTACACCTTTGTGTCTGAACAAAAGGGAGACTCCATGGTATGCGGGCTGCATCTCCAAGAGATCAGCTAAAACAAAGCAATGGTGCAAGGGGGAAGAGCATGAAGATGTTTGAAATGGCATCAGGCAGACAAAAGTTAACTCCAGTTCTTCCCCTTAATGAGAAATGTAGCTATCTGGGGAAGAAGATGAGGATGTTAAATTCACCACACTTGAAAACCAAGAGGGAAGGGAATCTGAAAGATCATTTTGAATTAGATCTCACATGCACAGAGGGGAAATATGGAGATGTCATGTGCTTGGAGTATATTAGTAACAGTTGCATTACTTACTGGTCCTTTTGGTTTGCACTTTATTTTCTCCAAGTTCAACATCTATATCCAATAAATTTCAGTCTTTGAAAGACCACAAATGTTAATGTTAGGAGTGTTGAAAAATAACAGCAATACATTTCTTTCTGAATCTTTCTTTAAGAGTAAATCCTTGAATTGAATTTTCAGAATATTTTTGCTTTTTTAAAGGTCATTGTCATGGGTGTCCTTACTGGTTACAGTGCTGACATGTGTATTTTGAATGTTATACCCTTACTTTACTGCAAGTCTGGCTATGAAAGCCTGGGAGAGGACTGCACTTTATCCTTTGTAGCCTTATTTGTAGAAGTGGAGACAGAAGACACTAAGAGGAGGATATTTGGGGGTGAAAGGATACTGGTTTTACAACGACCAGTGAAACTGGGTAGTTGAATGGATTTGGAGGATGGGTCAGAGCTGGCTGGTTTGTGAAGAAGGGGTTGAAGCTCTCCACCCTATCCCTTTTCTTCACAGGAAAGTGTAGGGAGAGCCCTATGATAGAAAGCACTCTCTTTGCTCAGGTAGTTGTATGATTCTCTTTGTAGCTTGTTTCTTTGTGACAGATTTTAAGGTCACATCCTGCCCTCAGGCAGCTGAGCAGAGAAAATAAAGTGATTAAAGGTGATTGGAAAACAAGACCACTGGTCAGTTTAATGATGGGTACCAATCTTTCTATTTTCCCTGTGACAGCAGAGAAAAAGGTAAATTCATTTCTCATCTAAACTTCTCGAGCTGTCTATCCTGTTACCCACGCTGTTTGTACAAATCTCTCTTCAGAGATGCAGCCTGGGTTCCATTACCACACTGTCACACTTGGTTATTTCTTCCTCCAGCACTCAGCATCAAAACACATATTTAATTGATACTCCTCAAGCCAAATGGAGAGGGCTGTGTTTTCCTCTCCCCATCGTGTGCACTGCACCGTGCAGCTCCAAACACTGATGTGCACTTCACGTTGGAAACCAGGCTGGAACCCGAACAGCGCCAAAAGACTTCCCCCACGTTATGTTAGAGGGGTTGGACCTGTTCCTACTGGCTGAGCATCTTCGAGGCAGAGCTGTAATGACAACTGGCAATGATTAGCACCTCTGCTAAGGGAACTTGACGTTGCCTCCAAGCGTGGAATGCCAGCGTGGATGATTTCTGCTGTAATGGCCTTCGAGACTGACACTGGGGGCACCTGGGGGTATCCAGTCAGGTGATACAGTTGATCTCCTTTCTCTGTTACCATTATCCTGTGTTGTACCTACAGGAGTTGCTCATGGCCAGACTGTTGGAGTAGAGGCTATTCAGCCATAAATTGGAACATAATCTTCTTTCTAAAGATTTTTTTTTTTTCACCATCTATGATAAATATGGTACTAAATAATGATTTTAATTATACTGGCTCTCTGTATATACATAAAGAAATTTTTTTCTCCTAATTTTTTTGCTAGAAGGTGAAAAAAAAACCCAAATAAAAGGATCCATCAGTTATCTTTTTTTCCTCCCTTTCTCTGAAATTTTAAACAAGCTGAAGCCTGTAATATGAAACAAGATTTAACCAATCTGCTTAGAGACCCTCACACCATTTGTAGCACCAGCAATGGAGATAACGTGGTTTCAGTCAGGGGATGAGTCAAATTCCAAAGCTCTGTGTCTGAAAAGAACCATGTGAGCTAACAAGATAACACAGCTTATAAACTTTACATTTGTTTCAAAACCAGTTGACATCATTTATGATTTCTTTTAATGGGAAATCTATTATTTGTTTTGATAAATTCTTCTTCCAGGATGGTAGTTGCTTTTTCCCAGATATTTACTTTCTCTTTTGAAGATTACATGTAGCTTCCAGTACTATAATAGTATTAGTGTCCATTTATATAAGAAATAACATTATTTTGAAATATAGCATTCTGGTTGTTAGTGTTTCCAAAGGATGTTTGTTCCTGGAACTGCATTCATCACGTTAACAGAGTTAAGAGAAATTGCAGTGCGAAAAGTTGTGGCAAGGTAATGACAAATGTTATTTGTAAAGAAAACTAGAGTTGAAACAACTTAATTTTGAAGACAATTCAATTCCAGTTCCTGACTGCTCGGGCAGACAAGTTCATTTAAAAGGGAAACTGAACAGCATTTCCTGGGCAAGGGATCGATGAAATAAGAGCTTACTGTGCATAGGACTTTGTCTGTATTCTTCCTAAGCTTGTCATCTCCTCTCTCTCTCTAGACCCCTGAAGAGCTGGAGGATGATTCAGACTTTGAGCAGGAAGATTATGACGTTCGCAGCCGAACCAGTGTCCAGACTGAGGATGACCAGCTCATTGCTGGCCAGAGTGCCAGGGTGAGTATAAACCCCCCATAAAACAAGAGTGTCTGCACAGGCACCAATAAAAAACTGTGCCTCAGAAAGCAAAGGCAGGGATTTCCAGTCTTCAAGGTCGTTTAAGAAAGGACAGAAGCAAGCTGACTCAAGAGCTGAAAGTTCACGTCGCACCTATTTGAGTAGCACTGACTTAATTGAATGATCTTCCTGAGGCTTTCCTGATGCCTTCTGTCAGCTGTTTGCTCCAGCTACTGCTGTAAGAGGAGGCTTTGCAGGCTTGGAATGTGCTGAAGCCGTGGGAGTAGTCAGCAAATTAAAAAAAAAAAAAAATTAAAAAAATGCCATCAGGGCGCCATGTGCCGTATCCAGAGAAATCTTACATTAGTCATGTTTCCCAGTGTGCAAACCTGTCAAGAAGATCTGTTTAAGCTACCGAGTAGTCCCTGTAATTTAATTGTAATTGAAGACATTTGCTACTGAGTCAATGTAATTTTGCCAGGGTAATTACATCATGATAAACTCCAGTCATTGTGATTTGCGACCTCAGCTTGTGCATGGGGATTGCAAATGAAGCTGATGAGTGCTTGGGGGGGTCACAGGTGCTGGGGAAGCGAAGTTTGTTAACACTCAGAAATATTCCTGTTAACACTCAGGATTATGCCACCCTCTGATGAATGTTTACTTCACCCTGAATAGGCTGCTCAGATCAGATTATTAAAAAACCCATCAGAATATAATTTGAGGGGAAAATGACATCGTGAAATTATGTTTGACTGGAGAGGGAGTTTAAAAAAATGAGCCTTAAACATTTTCCAGCAGAGAACCAGTGGGGAACTGGGAATTGCCTGAATGATTTTTCATGCCTGTTTCACACAAATCTGTAGGTTATTCTGCTGTGTCCTCACACACTTAAACAAACACTAGCAAAAGCTGGTAGCTGGAATGGGGATTTCTTACCTTGGATTCTGGAAGAAGATTTCTAGGGCTGAGAACCTGAAGATCAAAAGGCAACGATGCTTTGGAAAATCAATTCAGAGCACCAGGACAGAGGAGATTTTAGCTGCTGTAGGACTCACAGTATGCTGGGATTTAACACAAAGATTTTACACCCTGAAAAGAAACAGAAGCATTACACAAATCTAAAAGAAGCTTACTTAAAAGGATGGGAGAAATGTGAGACCTGGAACCGGTGTAATGGGCAGAGATTTCTTTTTGTCTTAATTTAAGTTCCATGAATATTGAATATAGATGGTAAATAAATCATACCATATATCAGAAAAGCTGGGTTTCTATCACTGAATCCCAAGGACATAATATATATACATTCAGTTTGATCTAAATGAAGAGAGATGGATTGTAGGTCCCATCCCAGAGAGCTGGGTGACCAGGACCTGACAGTGAAAACCAGACAGTCCCAAGAACTGCAGAATGACATCTGGATACCTCACTCTGAGAAGGATGGCAGAAGTGTATTCTGGAGGGAGATGACTATCTTTTGTGATTCTTATATTTTAAAGAGCATAAAGTGCTGTTTTTTATATTCAAAGAATTGGCTACTGAAGTAAGTCTCATGTACAGCAAAATTGAGGTACAGTACAGAGCATTCTATCAAAGTTCATAGTCTTTTTCCTTTTTTTTAGTTAACTTTAGAACTGGTAACATGCCATCCTTTCTTGATCTGAAAGCCAACTAAAGACTGCAGTAATTTTTTCTACCAAGAATTGAGTTCACGTAGGGGCTTGGGAGTCTTAAATTCTATTACATTTATTGCAGTTATTATTATTGCTGCACTTAAAACCTTCTGCTTTGATCAGCTGCAAACACTGTGTAAACACAATACATTATAAGGACAGTTCCTGAATAACATAATAACATTAAAATATGTCACAGGGAGCAACAAATGACAAAAGCCTAAATGGAAAACATCTGGGCAGAAGCTGCCCAGTCCACACTCTGCAGTGACTCATTGAAATGGTTCTGCTAAGTGGAATAGTATCTTATTTGAACCTTTTCTGTGGAAAATATTCAAAACATTTTTATTCATGGAGTGTAAAGGATTTGTTTAATATGCTTGCTCCATAAGGCTGTTAATATTTCAGTAGAAAGGCTTGTGTTGTTTTTCAGTAGAAATCAAACTGCAATGACTGAGCTGCATTTGCTGTGGGATGTGGCTGCTCTGGAAGCACCTCAGCAGCTGGAACAGAAATATTAAAACACTGTATACCAGTTAAACACGTGTGCAGGTGAAGCTGCCACCCAAAGAAACTGCAGGCAAGACATTCAGATCCACTTCCCAAATTTTACTACTCCTACCGTGTTCTCTTCAGTTAAGCCATCTGTTCTAGGGGTTTATGTGTATTTTATATATTTATTTATTAGCTTGACTTACACAGCATTTTTCTGTGGAAGGACTATTATTCTAACATTTGAAACTGCTGAGTTACATTGATAAAGCCTAATTAAAACTCGTGTTGAATTTTAATTTGATTAACTTGCAAATTTCTCGTTTTCTGATCTACTGTTTATAACCCTTTTTCATTTCAGTTTTGGAAAAGGTCAATTATGAACTTTAAAAAGCTAAGAGCATTTTAAGAATATGTAGAAAAAGACTTCAGCTGATTGAAAGTGACATAAACAAGAAAAAAAATGTAATGACACTTAAATATGTGTCACACCCCATTAAATGCATAATGTGGTCTTCAGAACCCCTAAAGCCAAATAGTGACTCAACTTGGAAATCATTATTGGAAGTGTCCATTTGATCTTCAAAAGTAATTATTATAATTTTATAAGGGTTTTTTTATTGGTTTGGGGTTTTTTTTCTTTTTTTTGAGAGGGAAGGGAACTTTCTGCTTTCTCGATGTGCAGTGCCTTTTTGCATATCGTCCAAGAGACAGAACACTAAATATCATTAAAAGACATGCTTGTTATAGTTCACTTTAAATGCATTATCTTGCACGTCACAGCTTATTTTAGCGCTGCCTTAATCAGAAACTTGTATTTCTGACAGAGAAAGAGACTAAGGGAGACACTGGCAATTCAGTCTGCCTCTTCCCATAAACGTCCTTCATTTTATTCTTTCTGGAAGTTTAGATTTAATAGGAATTTAATCCTCCTGTATCAACTGGTGAATAATCTGTACGTCATATAATTTTTATCATCTTGAAGGTGCAAGAAGAGTTACAATCATGCTGTGGATTTGGCTTTGCCTGTCCTAACAGAAATCAAATGCCTGCTGGATTTGGCTTGGCATCTTCAGCTGCCACGAAAAGCAACTCAAGCTGTGCTTGCCATTTGGACCACTGGAAATGTCAAGTTTCTGGCTTCCTTTTTTTTCATGCCCAGCTTCTGTTTTTTTTTTCCTCCAGGCTATCATGGCTCAGCTTCCCCAGGAGGAGAAGGCTAAGATTGCCGAGCAGGTGGAGATTTTCCACCAAGAAAAGAGCAAACTGGATGCGGAGGTGGCGAAGTGGGATGACAGCGGCAATGACATCATCGTGCTGGCAAAGCAGATGTGCATGATCATGATGGAAATGACAGACTTCACTAGGTGAGGGCAAAGTAACCTGCGCTGAGGGGTTCAGATGTGCCACATCTTCCCTTTCCTGTTCAGTCTGTAGCCTGTTGAGATGATTTGCTGGTGGTTTTGGAGATGCAAAGCCAACTGACACACATCATATACAGTGGGATGTGTTGTTTAGTTCTCTGCACACGACAGCTCTGGATATTTCTCCAAATAGGATTAATCACATGAAGTTTTTGTCCTGTTTCTGAGTCTCTTTTACTTGCAGATCGTCTTGAATTTCAGCAGCAAAGTTAGTGTGTGACCTTACAGACAGAGCACTGACATTTTGTTTAGTACCCATCTGAGTGCATGTGCCTCTCTGAACTTTCAGCATTTCACTGCAATTTGTGTCAATCAAAAATAATGGCAAAACTATTTATATAATTTTGAACACTGAACTTCTTTCCAAAAAAAAATCCCAAATGAAATGAAACTGTTTTGATCTAATATTTCATGAGAGTCTGTCAGTAATGATTTTTTTTTTTTGCTTTCATTTCTTTTCACTACTGATATCTTGTTCTTCTCTAATTGCAAAGCATCAAAAGGCCATTCATTAATGATATAATGTAAACAGAATTATTTTGTTAAACTGTAGTCAAAGTGTTAAACACACCAGGGACAACATTTTACAAGATTCTTTGAATTACAAATCACCATAATAAATCAAATTTGGTTCAGTGTTTGTTTTTAATGGGAGTTCACAAGTTTAAATGGTATCTGTCAAAATGCGATTACACAAAACTGGACAAAAATCTTCATGTCTTCCTTTAGAATTAAAATAAAACATCCATTTATTCATCTCACTGTGTTCCCCAGAGAAGCTGTGGCTGCCCCATCCCTAAAAGTGTTCCAGACCAGGCTGGATGGGTCTTGGAGCAACCTGGTCTAGTGGAAGATGTCCCTGCCCATGGCAGGGGGTTGGAACAGGATGATCTTTAAGGTCCCTTCCAACCCGAATCTTTCAGTGATTCCATGATTTCTTAATCTCCAGCTGATCACCTGCCTTGTGTCTGAAACCCTCAAACCCTGTCAGAGGAGCCAATCTCTGCGTTTACAACCTGGAGTCCACACATACCTGATAGATAGATAGATAGATAGATAGATAGATAGATAGATAGATAGATAGATAGATAGATAGATAAGCAGCATGTATAAATAACATTATTTTCAAATAACTTGACTATTTGCATAGGTAGTTAATTGATAATAGGCAACAGCAAACATTTTTATCCATTTTAAATTAAATTATGTCAATAGAAAGTTTGCTTACTTTAGTAGATTACTACTAGACTTGCTCCAAGCTGTTATTCTCTCCACTTACTTGTTTTCCTCTCAGTTTGTGCTTTCATGACTGTTGTTTTTGCAGTAGATTCAGAACCCCTGGATACTAAATGTCAGGGTGGAACCTCCTGTGAAGGGTGATATTTTACAGGATTCTGAACTACTTATGTATTCGTGTTGTCTTGGGACTCTGATCCTTCTGCTCAAAAACCAGAATGAAAAACTGCCCAAACAGTGTCACTGTTTCATGGAAGGAGGAAATGATGTTCTAGAGACACAGCCCAAAATATGAACATTTTACCCAACCTCCTGGACAACCCTCGATGCACTGAACATGAAATTACATTTCCAAGCATCGAAAGAACAGAACTAATATGAGAATGAGAGAAAACTACTGTCACATTTGAAGTAAATGAAAAAAAAAAAAAATCAAAGTGCACCTCTGTCAGCATCAGATTGAATAACAACTTGTTTAGTATATTCCATTAAAACAGAACAAGGCCTATCACACCTTTCTGGTTGACTGTAACCTGAGCAGTGTTAAAATAGAATAATTTTTCAAATGCATGGAGTTTGTGACGGCACGATCTGCTCCTCTAATTAATGTAGAAACATAAGAGGTCACCAAGAAGGACTTCTGCTGCAGTTTAAGTTCACCAGAAGTGAGATACTTTTGTTTCCTTGTCTGTTTAAGGTGGAAATGGAAGTACGGAAAGAAGATTAAAGTGGAAATATGTTTCAGCATGTTATTCTTGGCGTTATAGATTATGAAAAAAAGGAAAAATAATACAACGTTGTGTTTAGAAAAAAAATTCCTTCTGGTTCAATTAAAAAAAAAATATTAAGTTTGATCATATTATGATTTTCCAAATTAAAAAAAAAAAAAGAAAATAAGCTCACTTCTAACTGAACCATTTTCAGGAGCAGCAGCAATTTTTTAGTACAAACAGGATTAAAGTTTTGAGTGTGAAGCAAACTCAGAAAAATCTGTGATGACTTTTTAATTTTTGTCTTAATGCACTTTTGTTACTTTATAGACTGAGAGTTTCGTACATCATCCTAAAATACAGTGAAAGATCAGTCTTAAAGCTAGTTATACATGTTTTAAGTGTAATATTTAAATGCGATATAAGGATTATGCTTCGCATATCTTCATTTTCCAATGAAAAAAAACCTACTAAAAAAGGTTTTCTAAAACGTGACATCCTTGCCCTAGGCATGATGGGCTTAACATTTAGCTCTGGCTTGGGAATCACACCATTTTTAAATAGTTGTGTATTCCACAAAGAGCATTGGCTTAATGAGCACTTAAAAATGCATATACTTTTAAGTACAGCTCGTGTGCTTGAAGGCACCGTCACACTAAATTGCTAGTGAGGCATTTTGTAAGGGAGGGGAAATGCAGCAGACAGATTTCTTAATCAAGCCGTACTGCAAAGTAGTTAAAAGCTGAGATTCTCATAAATTAAGAAGTCAGTGGTGTTGCTATTTTAAAATCAAGCACCAAACAGGGGTCACTAAAACTGTTGCCTCTCGTGATTTATTTGGGCTGTGCGTAATTGTCTCGTGTTTCGCAGAGGCAAAGGCCCCCTGAAGAACACATCAGATGTCATCAACGCCGCCAAGAAGATTGCAGAGGCAGGGTCGAGGATGGACAAATTGGCACGGGCAGTAGCTGATCAGGTAACCACAGAAATGGGCAGAAATGCAATGTCACCTCTACAGATGAGTTGCCTTTTGCAGGAAAAGGTTGTTTTTACTTGGCAGAGAATCACTTGCTGGAAGTCACCAGCTGGGTGCTGATCTACCCCATTGAATAGAAGTTTTTCTGTGCCTGTCACTTGGGTTTTGCAGTACGGGAAAGGCATAAACAAACCTCTCTAAAGCTCAGAAACGCCTGACTTGTTCCACAGCCTCATTCCTGGGCCCAGGTGTTGCGTTAGAATTAGACTGATAGAGACTCATTTAGGTTGGGAAAGACCTCTAAGATCATCGAGTCCAAAATTTATTTGCTGTTTTGGAAGCAGTAGGGACTCGGATGCTCCGTTACCTTTGCCATATGCTTTGGAATCCTTTACCTTCTTTTCAGCTCATTCTTTCAGCAATTTCCCTTGATATGGCACATTTCTTCCTCAATGTTCCCTGACTCCCTGTTTTCTGGTTTGCTTCAGGCCACTGTGGGTGTTTCACCTTAAGAGGCCCCCAGTCCCTGTTCTGTGTCCTCGCTCCCAGTACCGAATTCATATCACAACTGGAAAGATGAACTAACTAGATATATAGTTTTTCAGATTGGATTCCATCTGGATCCATCTGGAGAGCGAGAGGAAGCAGCAGACTAAAAGTCAAGAGCCAAATTTCAAATCCAGGTCCTGGGTAGTTAATTTTAGATTCAGGCAAATTAAATTTGACTATTTTTTTTCACTCGTAAACTTCCTCTAGTTCCTTTCCTGTCATTGTCATCGGGAGAAAATTCATTGGAAGTGGGAACTGATAACTTCCTTGCTTCTAGTCTTTCTTTTCACAATAACTATGTCTTTTTCTTCTCCAAAAAGGAACGTAATCATGTGTAACATATCCAACCGTGGAATAGGAGCGAAAATGGCAAGAGACCTGAAGCTGTCCATTCTTCTATAACCTTGGAAATTTTGGGTTTAAAGTTTCATTACCAGCAAGAATTTTTTCCAGTAGTTAACCCATTCCAATCCTTCGAAAGTAGCATCTGTTCATTTTAGCTCAAGAAAGAAGAAATCCATCTGTCAGCTGATGAAATTCCTAGTCTGCAGTATTTGCAGAGGTGGAATATTTTAAAGGCAGAAACACAAACAGACTTGTTATGCTTGGAGTGCATTGGCTTGAGTCACATTTTAAATTTCAGAGGACTGTAACACTTCAGTAATAAACAGGGAAAGCACTTCAAGAATGAATTATTTGTTTTAATGCTTGCACTTTAATGATATTTCACAGAACTTTGGAGACCCTCGTGCAATATAAACTTTTTATGGACAGTTGCATTTTTAATTATTGTTCCAATGAGAGACCTCTTACATTTTTTCACTCCAAGGTGCTTATATTTAAAACCTTGACAGCTCTCTAGCATTATTGCTTTAAAGTTCATTTCTTTCAGTTCATAGACTTCAAGAATAGGGTAAATATTTTTTAATCTAATTGTCACTGCTAGGGAGGAAAGGTTTCTTAGGGATTCATGCCTGAAAGATGTGGCATCTGTCTGAGGAAAAGAGGCTTTGCCATAAGTGTAGGGCAGGTTTAACCTGACAGCCACAGTGGACCTCCAGCTTTGTTTATTCTTAGTTTTAAAGGGAGAGAAAAAAGCAAAGTGACTCCTTTCAGGGTTACAGAAAATAATATGCAACTGTTTCATCATGAACTCATTCCTGGCCAGCAATATCTGTTGGGTTAGAGCAGCAGTCTCAGGTCAGAGGCTGTGATACTGTTGGCTCATGTGTGATTATCAGTTTTTCTTGAAATGCTCTGATAATATTTTTTAAAAAATTGTTCATAAACTTTGTAAGATGCTAAAAAGGCATATTTGGAATCTTTGTTCCCCAAGCTATGCAGTCAAAGGATATTCAAAGGGTGTTTATTGGAGACATGCTGGTAGCAATGGACCCTTTTAGCACTGTTTCAGCAGAGTGAATTACTGAGGTCTGTTCTCTTGAGGCAAGACTTTGAATATTAACTACAAGACTCTTGTTTATTATGCTCTTGATATTGTGGGGGAAGATGCAGTTTCTATTAGGAGTCCCAGAGACTATGAATAAATTGTACTTGGGCCTTTTCTAGTTATATTGATTATAAAACCTCACAGTGTCTAGCACATTTGACCTAATCTAATCTGCATCAACACACATTTGGGATTGATTCACAGTATCTGAAATGGTACAGGACTGTAGACAGCCTTCCCTCTAGGATGGAGAATTATCCCTTAGACATGCAGAGGGACCAGCTTAACTCACTGAGTTCTTGAGCAGGGCTGCAATACTGATGTCATCTGCTGAGATACTCTGCAATATGTCGCTCACACTTGTGTAAATAATTTCTCTCTGGCACAGATTAAGGTATTTCAGCATCAAAAATGAGCTTGCCAGATCTGTCATTACCAAACCCAAGCAGCCTCACCTCTGCCTCTCAAGTCCTTCAGGTGTCAATGAGCGACCTGGCTTCTGCCAAGCCTGAGGCAGAGCTGTGTCCTCTGAAGGTCTGCACAAATGCCAGGGAAGATGGCAACACAGACAAGAGTGGGTGTAATCAGTCAGAACTGGGGTCCTCTGGACTTTAACTGGTCCATGCTGTGGAGTTTCAAGTCAAACCTGGTCTTTTGGCTGCTCAATAGACTCTCCTGTTCAGTACAATTTGATATCCTAAGTAAACACTCACAGTGATCATATTATTGTCACTGCCTTTCATTAGTGACTGACAGAGCAGTTTCATCCCTCTCCAGAAAGGAATAGTGCATCTCCAGGCTACAATTCATAAACACTGAGTTAAATGAAAGGCAGAGTCTCAGTTTTCATCGAGTCCCTCATGTAAAGACAAAGTGGAATAGACCCACCTGATGCACACACATTGCCACTAACTGGTGACCTGTCTCTAATCATATTAACTCAGCTGCATCTAATGAAATATCTTTTTCATCTGCAGTGCCCAGACTCAGCCTGCAAACAGGACCTGCTGGCCTACCTGCAGCGCATTGCCCTGTACTGCCACCAGCTCAACATCTGCAGCAAAGTGAAGGCAGAAGTTCAGAACCTGGGAGGAGAACTTATTGTATCAGGGGTAAGCTGGGATTTGTATTCAGCCATTTCTGTTTCCCACGTAGCACTTGAAAGGGAGCATTTTTGATTGCAGTAATATGCAAAACAAAAAGCCACTGATTCATAAGCAAGCTTTTTAAAAATGTTATCACCATTATTCCAGGCCTTACAATAACTTGTGTAGAGCAATTTGATTTTCCAATTACCCTTTGTTTATATTAACCTTGTAAAATCTTCATTCTTCCAAAAGAAAAGTAATTTTATAGCCTAGAAAGTCATTGCCAAGCTGTGAATATTATAATTATTTGGAGCTTTTGTATATTTGCTCATTATAAATCTTCTTTCCTTTGTTAGTACTGGTAATTTCCTTCCTCTGTGCAGAAGCCAGCTCTGTATGAAGTGCATATTGTTAAGATGGTGATGACTAATGGGATTCATTCACTCAGGTTCCAATGCACACTAGGTTTAGCAAAAAAATCTGGAAGGCCAGCAAAATATTTTAAATTTTGATGCATGTGCTGTTTTCAAATACTATTGGCAAGCACAATGATTATATGCTCTAATGCCCATCCAGTTATTTCAGTTATTTTCAATGAACACTGCAAACTTCTGACACACACAATCTCTTTTTTTTTTTTTTTTTTTAGAAATAAAGACAGGAATATGCAGCAGCAGCAGTAATATTATAAACAATGAGTTTTCTATATTTTTAAAGTATTTTTTTCTTTCCTTCTCCTAAGGTTGGCCTCTGTGCCTCTGGGAGAACACCAGAACCAAGCAGCAGCAACTGCTGCTCTTCATGGTTTCCTTTTTTTGTTCTTTCACCCTAGTATTAGCCCCATGACACCTTTGTTATCCTCTAACTCAAATACAGACCATATGGCTGTAAATGTGTCATTTTTTCGCTCTCCTGAGCGTGTTTTCAAAACAATGGTGATTTGTGAGACCCGAGATGCTTCAAACAAATTGTTCTCAAATGCGGTTTTGAAAAAGCACCCTTTCATTGTTTAAGCCCAATCAAGTACGAAGATCATTAGGACAATTAACTTGTGCCCTTCATTCCATCCATAAGATTCCCCAGTGACATCACTGGCCTTCCTCAAACACGTCAGAAGGCAGAGAAAATGTTCTCAACCACGTAACATTTTTATTTTTTTTTTTTGCAAAGCTCTATAGAAGGTCTTAAACATTTGCCAGGCTCTCTTGGATCAAACATTCTGAAGTCATACACACAATCCTAAAGGGAGCTGCTTAAAGGTTCCTGTATCTGTCCTGCAATTGGTCTTCACTTCTTGACGTATGTACGTATGTAATTTTAATACCTTGATCTTCCCACAGCAACGAAAAGATCCTCTTCCATCCTCCTGATATTAACGGAATGATCTGTCCTTTTGTTGCTGACAGCTCTGCTGCAGAGTGATTGCTGTGATCTTTTCTTACCTACTGCCATCTGGGCCCAGCTTTTCATACCCATCCAGTCGTCATATCCATCTCTCTACAACAATTCCCCGAATCAGTGCTTCGACCAGCTTAGCTTTTGTGGTTGTGTGTGTTTCTTTTTTCGAGTCTCTTTATTCGGTGTATGTGAATGCTGAATAAGCCATTGTGAATCTCGAGCATCTCCTCGTTCCTGGCACATCCCCATCCGTTGTGAAACTATTAAGTGGCCGAACCGCTTGACTTCATCATTCCCAGTCTGGCATTGTTGGCACCCGCTGCTTACCAGGCTTCATCACCATTGTGTTTCTGTTTGGTTGGGGTTTCACAGTCAGCTGCAAAGACAAAAAAAACAGCTTCAAACGCAGAAATTGTTTGGTTCTGTCCCCAAGACTCGGTAGTCCTGAGGTGTGGAAAATGTGCAGATTGCCCAGCTCGCTTCTTCTGCTGGTGCCCTGAAAAGGAGGTGACCTGGGGTTGAACTCCTGTGCATCCCTTTGTGAGAGCATTATCTTGAGATCTGGTGTAACACAGTGCAGGGGCTTCCCTGACAGTGTTTTCTGAGCTGTTTATCTTCAAGGTGCTGGGTACTGTATGCTCCCTTGCTATCCAGAGATCTGGTATCCAAGTGCACATCTACATCTGCTTGTCTACTTGCTGCTTCTGCTTCCATCTTCTTCCTCATTTTCTCTTGGATAGCCAATTACAAATAAGCAGTATTTTATTTGTATCAAAATGAAATACCATTATTTGGCAACTTGCATACAGTACAACGTTAGAAGTACTATAGAAATCCAGAATTCCAGCTTCCCAACCTGTGACTATGGAATTAACTTTATGTTTGTGCTATATTTAAGTGTTTTGATGTAAATATCAAGAACCAGGATGATTATTACAATATTGTAATTTACTGCTGTGTTTTCAGAGAACCACAATATCATTCAGATCGATCCAAAAGATGACTTATGATTCAGAATTCTCATAGGGAGTAGAATCCCTGCTTGAATTCTTTCATTATTAAGAATATTAATCAATATTTATAAATTAAATGAATGTATGCATATGTATGTTTGAATCTGCGTGTGGGTGTATGCATATTTATATAAAAAGGAAAGAGACATAAAACCAATTAAAACTAAAAAAGACAGATGAAAGCCACCCCACAGTTCTCATAGTTTTGTTAGAGAAAAATATGTTGCAACAACCTCAAAAATATTGTCTAAATAACACATAATGTGTTGTACATATATTGATGAAACTTCTATTTTTTTTCCCCCTACAAGATTCAGTAGTTTAGTATGGTTTATCTCTGAAAATAAGCCTAAAGCTGATCTTGTTTGCTTTTTCTTCTATAGATTGATATGGTACTAGCATAGCATATGAAGGGGTCCTTTTTGGCATCAGTGACTTTGCTGCAAGTAGGAAAACAGATCAAAAAGTAAGAAAATGTCACAGTCCTGAAGTGTAAACTGTTTCAGTAAAGAACCCGCTGTTTTTTCCCTTTCCTTCCTCCCATTCCTTTTTCCCCCCAAGCTCTTTTTTCTCCCTTGACCTTTCCCATCAAACTCCCTCCATGCAGATAGCAAAACTATTTTTAGCAGATAAGTAAGACCTGGCAATTGGGAGTTAGCTCATGATATCAGTGGAGCAAGGCCAGCTTGTCTGTTGACTTGGTCCCTTATGTCGCAAGGTGAGACTCTTAATTTCTGATTCTAGTTGAGTTTTGGAAAGCAAAGTAAGGAAAGACTATGTTCTACCTGTCCTGCAGTGAGGAGCCTTGTAAACCTGAAGAAGATTATAGGGAAGAAACTAAGCAAAAATGAGGAGGAGGTTAGATAACAGCAAAAGCAAATTCATATAAAAAATTGCAAAAGACTTTACAAATATTTCTGATCTGTGCAGATGATATCCTTGTTCCTAATAAAAGTCTCTTTGACCTTGGTCCATAAACAGATATATTTTGCAGATTTAAATTTGAATATTCAATTTCTAGTTCCCCTCTAAGAATAAACAATGTCCTTTAATGAAATTACAGAGTAAAAGCATTTCAAAATAATTTGCTTTGTCTCTTGCCTTAGTTTCTTTAAAGTAACGTGCATTTGCTTGATAATCAGTTGCACTGTTGTACTGGAATGAATCCTCTGAGGTGCTGAGCACACACTACTCTCAGTAAATCCCATTTACATATACTTAGCTCTTGCTGATAGCCTTGCCTGTTTGTGGGAGCTACTTTTGTTCAGTAGAGTTGCTTTTAGTGATGATGTTTCTTATTTAGATACAAATTCAGACTTCTGGCTGTAGGGCTACTTTATTTTTCCAGTGTTCCTCACTGCCTCTTGTTAGCAAGAGCATTACAATAAAACAAATATATATATTCAGTTCTTACTCTAGAATAAATATCCACTTGTTCTGTTTACTGCTGCTCAGAAGCTGATCAGCTCATTTACCTACTTCCAATTTAGGCTATGAGCTTGCGTTTTTTAAAATTCTTGTTTATGTATCTTTATTAGATTTGCCACAGATTTTCCTGTAGGATCAGATTGAGCAGAATCTAAGAAAATCCCTTATCCAAGGCAGCCCCTTATCGTGTTCAGGTTTGATTTAGAGCTCTACAGATCCAATCAGCTGTATTATCAGAAAATTTGCCCAGAGAGTCTGAAACTTCTGAGCCAGACAGATATTCTGGGTTGTACCATGTGCCTTTGAGCACTGCCCAAAAATGTTGAATCAGTAGCCAAAGCACTCTCCAAAAACATATACTTTAGCTGGGTCCAGTTCCCAGTTGTTTTACAAATCTCATTTATCTTAACATAACAGGTTCAACTGCAATACCCAGAGAAGGATTCTTATAATCTGTTGAAGACACAAGACAGTTTAATTAGGATTGGGAATTTATTGAGGAGCTCCTGCTTGGGGAATTGAAGTGAGGGCTTTGGTGGGAAAAGGAAGATGAAAAGGCTGGAGCCACCCCATTAATTTTGGGTTAAAACTGCCATAACACGCCTGACTGGGAGGGCGGATACATAAAAATATTAACAGATACAGGACATGGGGCAAAATAAATGTATGTTTATTCTTGGTTAGTGATAAGAGGAAGGTAACCAGAAAAGAGCTGGTCCTCACCAAAAATGGACGAACCTCATTATTTACCACAGAGTAACAGGGAGCATCCAGCAGTTATTTCAGGTGAGCTGGCAGTGTCCCTGTCAAGTCAGCCTATGGATCTTACATGGAGTACAACAAGATAAAGGTCCTACTTTTCTTTCATTTGAGGCTGAATCACTGTAAACTACCTCGTGCTGTAAAAGCAGGTTGGTGTGAATGTGGGCAGTGAAGTATCAAGTTGCTACTTTTTAATTCTAGAGAAATTCAAAGAAAAATCAGGTAATTTATTCAAAGAAAAATCAGGTAATTTATTCAAAGAAAAATCAGGTAATTTGAGGTTCAACTGTTATTAAAAGTGAGTAAGGCTGCCTTTCACTGAATTTGGATAAAGAGCATGTTCCTAAACATTTCCTTAAGAGTCACTGATGGGTTATTTCATTTTCCTGAAAAAGAAAGCCTTTCTGGAGTGTTTTCCTTTGCTTTAAAGCTGGCAGTCAAAGAGAACCTTTGCACATAAAATGCTTATCAATATGGACAAAGTGTTGTTTTGGAGCTTGGCAAATAGAGTGGTTTAATTCCTCCTGAATCAGGCAAGAATGTAGCATTATGTAAAAGAAAACTTTCCTGAAGGGAGTGTTGGTAAATTGACGAAACTGTTGGGGTCGTTTTTCTTCAAGATTCTCAGGAGTACAAGAAGGTTATTGCTGTTACTTGGCTGTATGAAGCACATGGTACTGACACAGGTTTTGATAAACCTTTATCTGGAACAAATTTGTTTGGGCTCTTCTATTTGTGATGAATGCAGGAGTCTCCAGCTCCTGCTGGCACAGAATGTCCCTCAGTGCACTGTCCAAGAAAGGGACTGCCCGATGATATGGTAACATAAAAAATTTATCATCCTGACACTGAGTCAATTTACTACTCCTAGAGGATAAAGGCACCAGTGAATTATGCAGGTTAATCAAAATGAGTGCTGATAAAATCCCTCATGGTCATATATTCATTATATATGACGTATTTTATTGAAGCACTGTCTTAGGGCTTTCTGAAAGTTAAAACAGTGAAGAATTCCTAATTATCCTATGAAACACCTCAAAGATGATCAGGGAAAAAAACACACCAGACATAAATAGATGTATCTGTAGTGGCCCTAAAGCCATTTGCAATACCTCTCCCAAATATTTGACAATAATTAAGATTCAGTTCATTATATGTAGCTTATCCATTGCTCCCCAGTAAAGGCAGTGTGGACCAGGAGCCCAGAGAGTTTATGCAGTTGGCATCATGGGAGGGATTCAAGCCCCAGGCAGACAGTGCTGAGCAGATCTGATGTGGGTAATCAACTCTCTTTAAGTCAAAAGCTGTACAGGAATTTGTAGGAGCCTTTGGAAAGGTTAATTTATTTTTATTAGTGTACGGCTGTTTCCTCAAAGCAGCTGAGTGAAGGTGGATGGGTGGCAGGCAGGGTTTGCTCCATGTAAGGAAAAGAAGATGAATGAAGCTTAAGGCAGAACTGAAAAATTCAACAAGAAAATATTTTTTGTGCAATAATCTCAGTTCTTCTGGAGCTCCAGTTTCTTGATATAAGGCTATTTTCAGGCCTAAGAAAATATCTCATCATAAATAAATGCTTATGTAAACACACATACACATAAATATGAAACAGTATATCCTGCATAAATGGAGAGATGTTATCTGTAATTTAATTTGCAAAGCAAAATCACACTGCACTTGTCTCCATTAGAATATATTCATGGAGACAAGAAGCACCATCTCTATGTCTCCATTCAGTAAGTTCAAATTTAGACAGGTCAGATTTTCTCCTTATTAAGAAGCATTTTGGCTGGAGGGGACTTGCTCTTGTGCTTTATCAGGTGACAAATATTCATGAATTTCTGAAGATTACATTTATTGAAATTTCTCATTAGAAGAGTTTTCTGCAAAGGAAAGCGTTTCTGATACCAAATAATCCATTTAATTCCATAAGAACAAAGCAAAGTGTTACAGATTCAAGACTAAAGCTTGAAACAAAAATGATCATAGACAAAGATTAGAGAATTGAAGGAAATACTGTTGTATGTGCTTCATTACATACTGCATTGGCTTTAAAAATAGAAGCCACTCAAAAATTCAAAGCTCCTCTGCTGCAGTAGCTGTGGCTTCAGTTCAGCTTGTTTTCCTCTTCCAGGCCATGCTGAATGAGTTGGGAGGAAAATGAGAATATTATGGCTTTCTGGGACACAAATTGCACCAGCCCTGCAATAATTAGCAAACACCATTCTAACACACCCTAAGATATGGTCCTAAAAGGTTATTCCTGTAAAAATTACCGTAAAGAAGGAGAGCAATGTAGCCCTTTTTCACATTCCCTTCTTTTCTCGTATTACTGCCTTTAATAGAGATGGTTTGGGACCAACGGTCATCATTTTGTATTAAATAAGAATTCCTTTGCTCTGGGGCATTCTCAGTGTGCCTCCCTAATGCAAAGCAGAGACTTGCTAATAGGTACATCCCAAGGCTTTAAATAAAAGTTAGGATTTTTTTTTCTTTTTTCATGGAATTATGGAGAACTCAATTTGCATAATGACAGATTTAGCACACAATAGGAGATTTTGGATTTTGTTTCTTAAACAGAAGTACATCTTTTAGCTCTTGCAATTTTTTTAATTCCCTGAGTTGGACAGTGGTGAGACTAAATCTCACTTCCAGAAGTACTGTCAGGTGGTGCTTTTGCAGATATTAAAAAAATAACAACTTCAGTTCAGACTCATCAGTTCCTTTGACTTTAATTATTGTTCTTGACAACCTGAGTTGCAGAGGAGTAACACACACACAGAAACACTCACAGACAAGAAGACATACCCTGAAGGGAAAACATCAACAGGTTTTCTCAGCCTGAGCAAAATCAACTGCAAACACTGAACAACTTACAACAAAGTATTTAATAAAACTCACAATAGGGATGTGTTTCCATTAAATGCAGGAGATCATATTAGCCTTTGGGAAGAGAACAAACTGAGGGAGGGAGGTTAAAAGTTACCTTTTATCTTTAACCTGTGAAATATTTTCTTCCACACTTGGGACTTATTATTATTATTATTATTACAGTTGTTGTTTATGTACCTCATACAGGGAAGAATATTTCTGTTACCACATCATTAATCTTACATAACTGATAAGCAGCTGCATCAACAAAAAGTAAAATGTCAAAGTCAAAAACTAACCAGTATCAGAAAAATCAGTCCTAACTTCTTACTGTTAGATATTCTCAAATGCTCTCTTTTAACATCAAGTCTTTCAGATTCTGACTAATATGTCATCAAAATGCCTTGTAAACTAAGTGACCAGGTAGGTAATAGTATCTCTAGAAACTGAGATGAAGTCTGCAAATAATGTGTCCTAAATCTCATCAAAGGCCAAATCAGAACTCTGTAAAACTGGATTAGAACATCAATATCTGAGCCAAAAGACTGCAGAAGCGTTTCCATCCCTTTTTATACCTGCAGCTAAATTCAGCATTTCCACTGTCAAAAACTTCGAGAAGTTGCAGCTTTACTCGGTGTCAGGTGGGATGTTACATATTTCACCATTCCCTAAGTGTGACACATAATGCACAAAAAGGATTTTCCCACTTATCCATCAGGCTGATCCACTACAGAAATTGGACACCTTTGGGTCAGAGGGGTGTCCATGAGAAACTCTTTAGACTTTAATGATCCGTGTCACCTCGGCATTTTCTCATGGCCTGTTTTCCAGCTCTTGTTTCAATTTCTTAAAATATATCCATTTTTCGCTTCTGAGTCTCTGGAACACTCCTGCACTGTTGGTGCTCCTCAGCTTTTCACAATCTTGCTGATACTCAGACTTTATAGGCAGGAGCCACTGGGACCTGTGTGGTGCCTGCCCTTTCCCATCACTTGTTCATCTCTTTCAGCAAGAAAGAAAGCACAAAGGGATTTTTTTCCAACACATCTTCGAGGTCAGACTGAACATGGACCCTTTTTTTAAGTTGGTTTCTAGTGCCTGGGTGCAAATTATTAAATCAATTACTCAACCTGCATTCACAGTGTTCTTATGCTGTTAGGCTTAACTTACATCCCTTAATAAAACATCTGATATTAAAGTCTTCATTTACTGTCTATTTGCATTTCCATGCATTCATTTAATTAACCTTAGTTGTATTCTTTGGAACATTTGGAAGATTTCTGTCCTTCCTTCCTTGAATATATAAACATTTTTAAGATGTTTTCATGAGATATATTCTTTCTGTTCTTTAACTCAATAGTGTTTTTTAGTAGGTAATGTGTTCACAACTCAGTCTTAACTTTGCTCTTCAGCCTTAACTTTGCTCTTCCCTTAATTTTCTCTTTATAAACCACAAATGTCATACTAAGAAAGTCAAAGCAAGATTTCAGATCTGGAGTATTGCCTGCTATCTAATCTGTTGAACTGTTTATATCACATTATCATGATGGAATCATCCATATTTCTCCATATTCCTTGTCTTGTATTGTTAATGGAGAATATCCTTGTCCACACTCAGTCTTCTGGGATTTAATTGTGCCGCTTCCTTATGTTTCTATTCCAATAAAACTTCTATTCCAATTTAACTCTTACTCACTCTTAAGTCTCTCTGTAGGAGACCTTAGAACTGCTATTACAGGTGTAATATTTCTCATATTTTAGAATTTATCCTCTGAACGTGCTTCTCTTTGTTGGAATCAGCAACATTGCTGGGCCTTCATAAGGTCTGGTGCTCACAGGAGTTCAAAGACATTCCTACTTTATTTGGCAAAAACAACTGTGGTGCAGTAGTCAAGGCATAGGTTACCGAAGTCATGGATTAACTGAATTCCACTTGGTACTTTTTACCATAAAAGCCTTTAAAAATTCCCATTTTTCTTTTGTTTTAGCAGGCCATTAGACATGAATATTAATGAGGACTCGATGCAGTACAGGGTGCCAGAGGTGGTTTTCCTCCTCTCTTATCTTCAGACATGCAAATAGCTTGTAGTCAAGAAGCTGCAAAGAGAAATCAGACAGATGTGTGTTTAATTCAATTGTGAACAGCACTATCATCACTTAGCATGACTCAGCTGCAGCCTAGTTTTGCATTGTGTTCCTGGAGTTCCATATCATCTCTAAGTCACAGTAACTCTTCATTTTGTCAACCGGGCACCCATTTGTTGATTTTTTTTTTTTAAATCCACAATTGTACTGGTTTAAAGTAGCATCTGCAGATACTGCAGGATTAACATGATGATAAAAGTTTTGAAGGGTAAGAAGGAAAACACTCGACTTCTGTTGTGAGGGGAAGGGATTGGTTCTAGGCATGAGTCACACACTTTCCTTTTTTCAACAGAAGCAAAGGAGAGAAAAACAAAGATCACACAGAGCAGGGAATGCACATTAATCGTTATTAAGACAGAAAAAACTAATCATAATTAGATTAGAATTCACATGATCCTTGTAGCATCAAAAAGCCTAAGGGAAAACATCAATATTAGCTCAGTGTGCCTATAATCCATAGTCCTAAAAGAGATTTCAGGAGCATTCATTTTTCCTCTTCCAAAAGGCAGGATCTTATGTTAGCCCTCTTTACTGGCCCTGAATAGTCCCCCCATTCTCTAAGCAGTTTTATTAAATGGAGTTAAGTTTTGCAGCATATACTAATTTTTTTTTTCACTTTTAGTATACAGCTAGGTTATCAAGAAAATCCCAGTGAATAATTTAAGCAATTATGTTTACTCTTGAACCTGCTTTTCCAGAATTTGGATGATAAAAATTCCATTTACAATAAATTAGAATGAATATCCCATTTTAAGCCCTCCCATTTCAGTTCTTGGGATGTTGTTTGAAAAAAAAAAAACAAAAAACATGTGCCTCAGCCTGGAAGGTTGTCACTGTCTAAAAATGCACATATTTAAAAATATCACCTCTGTGCAATTTTGTTGATATTTTCTGGAACTTTGAAAGTGTGCTCTGTAAATAAATGTATGCCCAGAATTTTCATACTTCCCTCACTTGTTCTTTCAGCACAGTTTGTCAGTTCTCATTTTCAATGCAAGAAAACCATAATTCTTTGCTGACCTCCTTCCCATAGTGCTGTATAGAGGGTAAATAGAAGGCCAGCCCTCTGGTTTTTTTCTGCTCAAGGGTCATTCCAGAGGTGTGGATTGGATGTTTGTTCAGCATGAGGGGACACAAATGTAATTCCAGCTGTAGACACTGGAATTTTACCTGCTTGCACTGGTGTGTATGTCTTTGTGCAGTTTGGCTGGACAAAACCACACATAAACCAGTGGCATTTGGCAGCCTATGCACCAAATTGCGCATGATTTGATGTCAGTTAGCATTTAATGGGGACAAAGCTTTTTGTCCTCTGGTTTTCATCCAGAGGCACCAAAAATTACCCCCTTTGCCAATCGACCTGTGCTATGGGAACAAGTGAGAGGAACCAGCAGCCAGCGGGGTCCCTCATCGTGGAGCAGTCCCTGTCTCCTTGGCCAAGCAGAGCTCCTTCAGCACACGCTTCCCTCTCTCTCACCTCTACGCTACGGCACAATTTTTCTCTTGCTCTCTCTCTCACTATCTCTTTTCTGTATCTCTCGGAAATCAGACTGGAGTTCAGAGCACTTTCACTACCTTTTATGAGGTAGAGTGTGATGTCATAGATGGGGGCAGGGCTAGTCAACTTTCCACCCACCCACCCACCTGTGCTGAGGGAGCTACGCTTGAGACTGGAAGCGGTGACTCCTCAACGGTGAGTAACCTGCTGTCTCATCTCTGTCTTTAAAGATCTGGGGGTGGAGGGAGGAGACGTGGCAACGGGGGATTTTTTTGAGAGCTGCTTCTTTTTTATTTTTTTTTTTTTTCAATTAGGACTAACAGAATTATTTGCGTATGTTGCCTTAGTCACCTGAGAAAAAGCATTCCCTTCCTGTCCCCAAGTCCCAGAGTTTACATCATCTGCAAAGCAATGATCGCGTTTCTCTGCAGAGACAGTCCATTTACTGATGGTTAAAACTGATCCTTCAGTGTTTAACTTGTCTTGCTAAAAGGCAGGCCCTGGTCCCCTTGAACTCAATTCCTAAACTTCCATTAATTTAATTACAGTATTTAATTATAGTGCTGGGCCATACTTTTTCTAAAGTTCTTTATGATGAATGATAGATGATGTTATTTATATATTTAACACTACTAACTGTGGATAATGGCTTTTTATATGAGAAAGGATTTTTTTTCCTATATTTTCTATTACTGTTTTTATTTTCTTTGCCCAGAACATTTAATCAAGCTGTGTATTGACAATAGGCCAATTATTTTATAGATGAAATAAAATTCAAAGGGAAATTGTGATAGACTTAAAATTAAGCGGGAAACCCCAGGAGATGTAACTGAGATTTAACTTTTGAAATTATAAATCAAAGCATTTGATTATTTTTCTTTTCTGTGATAAGAACTTGAAATGGGCAGGGATACTGCTAACTGAATTTCTTGGTGTTTTTCTTTTGTCACTACCTAAACATTACTATTTTCCTTTAAAGCATTGTCTTGTTACCAATGTCCCTTGGCCCCAGGTATTGCTGCTTCACTGTTTTAATATCCCTCAGCACTTTAAAAAAGACAAGACGGACTACTAAGATCTTCCTTTCTTGTTCTGCCTCTTGGGTATCTATTAAAGCCGTCAAGATGTCAGAGCTCTCATGCTAAAGGGCAGAAGAAGGATCATATGAAGATTTTGGCCCCCAGGGGTTCTGCAAATCTTGCTGTTCTTGTTCATTTAAAGCTCTTTACCAGCTTTGTGTGGGGTCCTGTCATATCTCAGTGAGAGGCACTAAAAGGCAGCAGCACATTCTCCATAAATCAAAGACGAGGAGAGTGCAATCACAGCCTTTCCTGCAGAGGAGGTCCATAGTTTGATTGATGAAGTACTTCTATTTCCAGGTGACTTGGTGGCTCTGAGCAATTGGTTAAGGATGCAGACCATTCCATCTTCTGGTCAGTGGCACGTACTGGGGTTTGGTCTGTGGTGATGGATGGATATTCCTCCCTGATGACTCAGGGATGCTCTTTGTATCAATGCACAGGAGATCTGAATGAAATTCTGGGAGGATGAGAGTCTTGTTTACAAAGCCAGCTACCAAAACTCTCACTAATGATTGTTTCCCTTCCTGTCAGAGAGAAAAATAAGGACAAAGAATATAAAAATGTCTCCCTGACAGGTGGTGACTCTTCTGGCTGTGAATAATGTGCACGAGGAGTTTTACTACTGTTTGTTCCTGTAGTGAACCAAAAGTGAATCTCCAAATCTTCCTTTGCGAAGCCACAAACTCGTTAATCAAATTTACCTTCCCCAGCAAACTTTAATCTTTTCAGTAGGAAAGGAAAAGCAGGTTAGTCAGTCTCTAATGTTTCACTGGGAAAACTTTATGGGAACTGCTGCTCTTAAAGATGATTTGAAGTTTGTTCTTTTCAGAAGCAAACACTTGGAGGTAAAATTTAATTTAGAGCCCAAGCACATCCTCTGCTGATGAGTTTTGTCAAATTGTCTTAGCACATTTGTAATTACTCTTGCATAATGCAGGAGACTTTAATTTTTGCACGGAATTGATAAAAGATAAGGACCAACTGTACACTGCCTCCTCTAATCTCACTTCAATAATGCAAAACCATTTTGGCGGCTTGGAGAGGGAAACTCTCTTTAAAAGTGGTTTAAGGATTGGGAAGAGGAAATCAGAATTGATGTCATTCAATAATTATGGTGAACGAGACACAGTGATCAGCACTGAGGGGATACTGTGGAACAGAGATGTCAGTGGATTACTTTAAATCCAGAGAAATTGGCACTCTAAATTTATCTTTTAAGAGGAGCAAATTAGAGTTGTATAGCAGGGAGTTTGTAGAGGGAATGACATTCATAATTACATAAACTGTTGCAATAATTAACCTGGAATCTGTCTGTGCCAATTCTAGTAACAAATTTTTGACCATGCAACCCCAGGATGTGAGTTTGCCTGAGTAACTTAACACTGGTAAAATAAATAGCCTAATTTTACATTTACTGAGCTAATTCCCCTGTTTAATTATTTTACTGGCAGCTATGATTAAAAAAAATATTAAAATGTCTGAAGTGCACAGATTCCTACATTTTGCAGCTTATGCTTAAATATGCATTCAATCAATTATGATGTTTTTAAAATATTATTTACATGTACATAAATTAAATTAAAATACTATAAGCCCTATATTTCAGCTGATTTTATTTAGTGTTTAGTATGAAAACTTTTATGGCAAATATCTGAGAAATTTTTCCAATATATGCTAATTTAAATGAATTAAAACTTCGTAAGTCAGTTGTTAGCAAAATGAAAGTTACTTTCTGATGTGGTATCCTTAAAAAAAATCGTTGTTTTGTATTTGCAAGCACACTGTGTATAACTGTCTTGAAACAAAACCACTAATTAGCATATTAATGCCTATATATTTAAGGAGGTCAAAGCTTAAATTACAGATTTGTTCCTTGGTCGTACTGGCAAAGGGGGAACAATAGTTTAATGATGTAAGATCAACATTTTTTCAGTATTATTAAGGTGTTCTGTGTAAGATTCCCAAATTTTCTTTATTTCCCAGGCTGATTTCTCTTACAAGTTGAATTAAAACTTTGTGGGTTGGTTCTTACCTTCTTTTTCTATAGGAGAAGTGAGGGAGAGCTGTGAAATGCTCCATCTG